AGGAAAAACCCTTTCTCAATCCACTGCCCCATTGAACTGTCGATCCATCACTTTCTTTTTGCTGATGAACTTTCTGGAAAGATTTCTTCCTTACCACTCACTCCTATACCCCTCGCTTTCTTTGCAATCAGATAATCTTTTTTTACTGAAATTGTTCTCTTAAAGGCCAGTGGGTTTTAATCAATCCTCGTCCTTTCTGACTAGTCTGCTTCATTAGACGTTGCTGACCACTTCTGCCTCCTTGACACTCTTTCCTCCACTGGGCAATAGCATTCTCCTGTTTCTCCTATCTCTCTGGTCTCCTGTTCTGAATCTTTTTCAGCTTCCTAAATATAAATGTTCCGCAGGGTTTTGTTCTTGGCCCTTTTCTCTCCTTATACTCAGTCCCTTAACAATCTCATTAACCAACCAGTAAACATTTATTAAGTAAGTACCGTGTGCCAGTCGCTGTCCTAATTGCTAGGGATTAAAAAAAAAAAAAGCAAAACTATTCCCTGCCCTCAATAAGCTCTTACATAGGTGACTTCAACTCTGTCCTTAGGCCAACTTCTCTTGAGTTCAAGACTCAAACTTCTAGCTGCCTATGGGATACCTCTACCTGGATGTCCCATCAACATTTTAAACTCTATCTCTAATATGAAATTAATTTTCCCCTCGGCCTCTGTCCTGCCATTCCTTCTCAAAACAAATTTCAAGGAAAATCCCAATTGTTACCTATTTCTATTTCTATTTATGCTACCACCATCCTCCTAGTCACCCAGCTGGGAAATCTTGACTTAATATTTGATTCTTCCCTTTTCTTTGACCCTCAAATCTAATCACTTGCTAAAGTACATTGAGACTATTTCAAAAATGCCTCTGGTGTAATATTTCCCTTAACCATTCTCATTTTTCCTATCCAAGTTCAAGCCCTATCTATTTTATTTTTTAAATAATCATTGCAGTACAGTTTCCCTTCCTTCTAGTCTCTCCTCTTCCTTATCACTTCTGTATATTGCTGTCAGATTAATCTTTTTAAAGCACATTTCTGTTCTGCTTATTCTCATATGTCAGAATCTTCAGGGGTTCTCCATTGCCTGCAGAATTAAGTTCAGACTCAGTTGCCTGGCATTCAAAGGCTTGGTTGATCTGTTTCTAACTTTCCTTTTCAGTCTTATCTCCCCTTCATTTCCAATGCATTATCCTTTAGCCGAACTATATTACTTTAAGAACATAACCCCTGCTTTTCTACCTCTATGCCTTTGCTCGTATGGTTCCCTCTGGCTGGAATTCCCTTCTCTCCCCCATCTGTGCCTGTTGAAATCCTTCTGTTCTTTGTGTCCCTACTCAAAGGCTCCTTGAAGCCTTCCTTCATCCATCTCTAGCCACAGGCCTCTCTGCCTTGCATAAAGACATAGGTGACTTGCTTATCAGATATGTAGACAGTGAACTGGGGGGTGGGGGGTTGCGCAGGGATAGCTAGTGTACTTAATTACTTGGGTTAGGGTCCAGAACGGATCTTGGATCATAATCTAGAATGCTAGGCTGAGTCTAATAAGATGAAAATCAGTAAAGATAAATGCACAGATTTATACTTGGATTCAAAAAATCAACTTTGAAATACAGAATAGAGGAGGTATGGTTATCAGTTTTTTGAGGGGAAAAACAACCTGGTGATTTTGATGGACCATAAACTCAACCTGAATCAGTAATGTGATGTGGCAACCAAAAAGGCTGATGTGATGTTGGTGTGCAAGGAGAGGGGCATAATTTCCAGCAATAAGGTGGTGATAGCCCCTATGTACTGTGAATTTTCAAAAAAAAAAAAAAATCATAGACTCTTAGAGATAATTCAGTTCTATGTGTTCATTTTACAAATGAGAAAATTACGGCCTAGAGAGGTGGAATGATTTGTCCAGATCACACAGCTAAGTTAGCAGAGCTAGGATCCCTAACTTCTGCTACAGTGCTCTCTTCCTTTCCAGCCCATCTCTCTAGCGTAGAAGAAAGAGCTCTAGATCAAGAGTTAGGAGGATTACTAGTTCTAGATCTGCTGCTAGCTAGCTATGTGATCTTAGGCAAATTTCAGCCTCTCTTTGACCACTTCCCCTCCTGAATTCCTTAGCGTTAGAGAACTGAGGCTTTTTAGCGGTTGCTGTATTCTACATCTCATTCTTTTCACACATCTTATCTCGTCTACCATGGATATTTGTAAAACCTCTTGAGGTCTGAGGTTTTCTTTTATTCGTCTCCCTGTCCTCCCATGGTTCCTCTTGCAGAATAGAAATAAAATCAATCTTTTGGTAAGAAATTTAGTCATAATTCCAAGTGAAGTCTAAGCTGGACTTTTTTTTTTTTCTGGATAGGCTGTGATATAATTGCTGGTACATATCTGAAATGATTTAGAAGAGGAAAATCAGCTTGCTGCTTGCATGGAGGGGTTTAATGGGATAGTAAAACTAGAACAATGATTAAAAATGATTACAAAGAATTTGTGCAAGTACCATATATTCTATATACTGAATAACAGTAACATTGATAGCAGGAATAAAAATATATTTCTTAAGAAGAGGGTTAAGGAAGGCAGATAAATAATTTAGTATTCCTTTACTTCCAATGATTTCCCTCGTCTGCTGAAGCTGAATATTGAAATTTCTATTGCATCAGTAGCTCTGTGCCTTGGACAAAGATGCCCTCTCAAGGACAAGGTTTGTTGTTATTGTTCAGCAGTTTCAGCTGTGTCCGATTCTTCATGACCTCATTTGGAGTTTTCCTTGCAAAGATAATGGCGTAGTTTGCCATTTCCTTCTCCAGCTCATTTTACAGGTGAGGCATACAGGGTTAAGTGACTTGCCCAGGGTCACACAGCTAATGTATCGGAGGGCAGATTTGAACTCAGGAAGATGAGTCTTCCTGATTCCAGGCCTTATTCCCTATCCACTACGGTGCCACCTAGTGTCCAAGGACAAGGTTGGGTGTGGTTAATTAGTGGGAATTAGGCACAGCAGGCAGCCTACCAACCTTTCTTAATTCTCAGTACCAATAATCACAAGATCATAGATTTTAAGCTGGGAGGGATCTTAGAGGTCATTGAGTCCAACCTTCTTATTTTACAGATGAGTAAATAGAGGTGCAAAGAGAAATTATGTGACTTGCCCAGGGTCACACAGCTAATGAGTATCTCAGGCAGGATCCGAGTTCAAATCAAACTTACTACTGCACTCACTATGCCACCTCGCTGCCTCACTGGCATGATTATTCCCAAAATCATTGATATTTAGTTGAAAGGGACATATCTTTGTATTTACCTTTGGATATTGAATCTAATTTGTGTGAGAATTATGGTAGTTCAGATGATAAAGCCAGTATGGAACACCAGACTCAGGAAACTCCCAGTCCTGTAACCATGTCTGGTGCTGAGCCAGGTACAGCCTCTAATTTATGCTGAAGGTATCTAGAAACCCCATGTGCCTAAGTTCTCTGTATCAGCTTTTCCTGAAGGTTATTGATACCAAGGGAATTTCAGATTTTTTCCATCTAGTGACTGTTTGCTTCAAGCCGTGTGTGACGGAACATATACAGAGGAGGTGGTAATAGTAACAAAACATTTAAAAGCTTTGCCTCACTTTCCCTGGCTTTGCCTCGCCTCCCTGCCTAGCACCCCACCTAACCCATTATCGTCAAGGACTTCAAAAGATTTCCCAGTAGAAATGAATGGTTAGAATTGGGAATTAGAGGCATCCTTTTGAGTTGCTTGCCTTTTATCATTACTTCTAGATTAGGGAGTCAGAAGGGACAATGAAAACACCATAGGATCATCATATTTTTTGACATTAACTATAAAACATGCCAGGGAACCATTGCTTAATCATTTTATTATTAGATATAGCTCTCAAGTTAAAAACTGTCATGAGTCGAAGAAAATCATGTCTTGATTAACCCCAGGAAAGTGCTCTGGAAGAGAAAATAGGTGAAGAGGGGTGGGGCAAAGAGGGATAAATAATTGATGAACTGAATCCCTCCCTTTTGGGTAAAGTCTAAAAGAATGACTGTGTGTTAGAGAATAACTGAGAAGCTGGAAGAAAAAACAAAGCTTTCCCAAAAGGTACACTTAAGATCCTTTCTTTGTCAAAATTAGCAAACTAAGCATGTGGAATTCACTAATTGGAATGGATATTACTTGGTACAGTTCTTAAACCTTGATGAAATGATTCTTGAAAACATTTCTTCCTTATGGTATAGCTTGTGGCAGTTTTTATCTTGTGAATGAATGAATGAATGAAAAAGCATTTATTAAGTGCTTACTAGGTGGCTTAGTGGATAAAAGGTGGAGTCAGGAAGACCTGAGTTCAGATCTGAACTCAGACACTTACTAGCTGTGTGACAAGTCACTTAACCCTGTTTACCTCAGTTCCTCATCTATAAAATGAGCTGGAGAAGGAAATGGCAAACTACCCCAGTATCTTTGCCAAGAAAGCCCCAAATGGGGGTCATGAAGAGTTAGACACAATTAAAAATGACAGAAATGTAAAAAAAGTACTGGGCTTACCACTGAGGTTACAAATAGAAAAGTAAGACAGCCTCTGTTCTCAAGGGGCCTCTATTGTAATGAGAAAGGCAACCCATATAGAACATTTCAGTTGCAAATCAGATGGAAAGGTCTCATGGTCCTTAGGTTGCAGAAGCAAAGCAGATGGGCAGGCCTCTTCTTAAATTCATTTCCATTGGTAAAAATCATATTGGTTTTTGATGTTGAGTCATTGATAGCAAGAATTTCCTTTTCTGGGTCCTTAGGAGTTTTCTCAGTAGCACCTTCTGGAGTAGTTGCCGGGCCATATCTCCATGGTGTGATGGCTCCAGGCCCTGGGCAGAAAGCATCCCTATTCCAAAGGCTCTTAGATTTAGGGTCCTGGGAGGTCCTTCTGTGGTATGGAGTCATGAGACCCTCCAAAAGCTCATCTTCTTGATCCCTGGGGTGCCTCAGTGACTGAAGGTCCATCTTTCCTTCCCTCTCATTCCAGCTGTTTGCCAGGGGCGCATCGTGAAGATCCCCACTGGGGGCCTTGTCCGAGTGGAGGGTACGGAGCTGGTCATCCCCTGCAACGTCAGTGACTACGACGGCCCCAGCGAGCAGAACTTTGATTGGAGCTTCTCGTCTTCTGGGACACATTTTGTGGAGATAGTGAGCACCTGGGAGGCGGCTTTCACGGCCCAGCCATACAGGGAGCGGCTGCAGAGAGGGGAGATCCAGCTGAGACGGATCGGCAACGACGCTGTAGAGCTCCACATTCAGAACCTCCAGGCCGCCGACCAAGGGCAGTACAAATGTTCCACCCCCAGCACGGACGCCACCGTCCAGGGCAACTATGATGACACGGTGCAAGTGAGAGGTACGTCCTTTCGAGGCTCCCACTGGGAGTCTTGGTTTCCTGTCGCCTCAAACTCTGCTGCCTTTACCAGCTACGGCAGCTTCAGGGCTAGTTCCCTCATCTTTGAAAAGGGAATCAGAAGATTTTGTGGGGGTCATGTGATGCCCTGGAGAAAGTACTGGGTTTGCAGTCAGCAAGGGTGGGGTTCACATCCCACCTGGACCTAGACCTCAGAGTTGCCAAAGGTAGTCAAAAGAATCAGTTCTCTACATGGCCCATAAAGGGGCATGACGGCCAGGCTCAGATGATTCCTTGAGGTCTCCTCCAGTTCTGTTATCTGTGATGATACAGCATTTAACCACTCTATGGTCATTGAAGTAGGTTCTGAGTTCAAATTTAGCCTCAGACACTTAATAGCTGTGTGACTCTGAGCAAGTCACTTAACCGCTGTTTGCCTCGTTTTCTCATCTGTAAAATGGGGATAATAATTGCACCTACCTTTCAGGGTTATTGTGAGGAGAAAAGCACAGCACAGTGTCTGGTACATAGCAATTGTTATATAAAAGTTAGCTATTTTTATTTTTGTTATTGTTAATTATCATTGTTATTATTATTATTATTATGGAGTGAATGTTGTTCGGTTGTGTCCAACTCTTCATGACCCCATTTGGGGTTTTCTTGGCAAAGATACTGGAGTGGGTTTGCCATTTCCTTCTCTAGCTCATTTGACAGATGAGGAAACTGAGACAGACAGGGTGAAGTGACTTGCCCAGAGTCACAGAGCTGATATGTATCTGAGTCCACATTTGAACTCAGGAGGATGAGTCTTTCTGACTCCAAGCCCAGCACTCTATGCAAAGCCCCACTTAGCTGCTCATGGAGTGAACAGTTCAGATTATTTCAGCAAGCATTTATGAAGTGGCTACTGTGTTCCAGGTACTTTGCAAAAGGATACAAAGACCAAAAAAAAATGGCAACAGATCGTGCCCACAAAGAGCTTATACTCTGCTGGCATGAATTGGGGGAAGAGAAGGAGAGAGGAGAAACATAGAGAGAGATACATAAGTAAAAGTATACGCAAAATAATTTTGGGGGTCAGATGGAGAGAACACTGACCCCTGAGGGGATCAGGAAGGGCCTCTTGTTTAAGGAGGTCATCGAGCAATGCCTTGAAGGGAGATCATGGAAGGAGCGCGTTCCAGGGCTGGGGACAGTCTGGGCCAAGTCACAGGGACAGCAAATGGAAATTACATATGGGGGGGACGGGAAGAGCAAGAAGACCTTTGGCTAGATGATGCGAGGAGGAGGCACGTGAAAACATGTGCACAGATACTGCAGGGCTTATTTCTTTCTCAGTCCTCATTATTGGGCATCTTCCCATCTGTTCCTGAGGCTGTATTGTGCTGAAAGAATAATGTGAAGACAGAATAATGGAAACCTGCCACCTAGGACCTTACGGCCCAAAGCAGCTAAATTTGACTTGGCCATGGATGTGAAAGGCCATACAGACCCTGAAAGAATTCTGTGTCCATCAAATGATACTGCCCTAGTAAGCAGACCTTAGACATGTCAAATAATAATGTAATATTTATGGTAAGCACCGGATCTGGAGTCAGAAAAACCTGAGTTCAAATTCGGCTTCACACTCTTATTAGCTATGTGACCCTGGGCAAGTCACTTCACCCTCTTTGCCTCAGTTTTCTCATCTGTAGAATGAGCTGGACAAGGATGTAGGAAACCACTCCAGTGTCTGTGCCAAGAAAACCCCAAATGGGGTCATGAAGAGTTAGACACGACTGAAAAATGACTGAACCAACAAAGCACTGACTACGTACCAGGCACTGTGCTAAGCACTTTATGGATATGATCTCATTTGATCCTCACAACAACCCTGGGAAGCAGGTGCTCTTATTATCCATATTTTACAGCCAAGGAAACTGAGGTAAACAGAATTAAGTGCCTTGCTCAAGGTCACACAGCTACTAAGTATCTGAGGCCAGATTTGAACTCAGATCTTCTTGACTTCAGGCCCTATGTTCTAGCCACTGTACTACCTAGTTGCCTGTCAAATAATTATAATAATGAAAAGATAAAGGGATAACAGCCTAGCCAGTCAGTCAATAAACATTTATTAATTGCCTACTATGTGCTAGACACTGTACTAAATGCTAGGGATATTAAGAAAGGCAAAATGCAGTCCCTGCTGCACATCTAATGAAGGAGAAACAACAATGTACAAACAAGCTGCATACAGGATAAATTGGAGACAATGAATCGAAGGCACTAGAATTAAAGGGGGATGGGAAGGGCTCCCTGAATAGAGAGGAAGGCTTAGAAGACATGTGTTCAAGTTCATTGGAAGAGGTGGACTTGCAAGAAAAAGGCAGCAATATCCACTGATGCCCAGGTTTCAAATTGGATGCAAGCAAGCGGATTGGGTAACATGAATGGCTCAAGGAGAAGAAACCATTGCATGCTTCTACTTCTTCTGTTCCTCATGTACTCCTCCCACCTGCCTGGAAAATCCCATAAGGAAGCCTTACAAATAAGTTAAAATAATTTATATTTCCCCCCAAAATCATCACCAAGTGTCCGGTTGTCCAATCACAACAGTTTTTGTGTTAGAATCATGTTGTTGGATGGGAATCTAGAAGCAATCTAGACCTCCTCCTTCCTGAGCCATCCTTCCCATCCCCGGAATAAAACCTCATACAGGAGAGAGAGAGAGAGAATAGAACAGAACAGAGAGAATTGTAGTATTTGCAAGACATAAATGCATCTCTCTCAGTGGTCACTTAGATCAGTAAACTAACATTTATTAAGTGTCTACTGTGTGCCTGACACTCTGCTGGGTGACAGGGATATAAAAACGAGAGCCAGAGAATTTCTGTCCTCAGGGAGCTTACACTCTGCTGGGACAATGTCGGACTGTGGAGGGAGCGGAGAATTCTCACTGGTTGACTTTAGAGCAGGTCCTTCCCACCCCCACCCCCACCCCCACTTTTGGTTTTGGAGGCAGGATTAAGAGGGAACATAATGGTAAGCTCAGGATCAGGGGCTTTCCTAATCCTCTCTCCTGTGATTTCATTCTTCATTCTCTTTGAAAAGCCCCAAGGATGGCACCAGAGCAGAACTTAAGATTATCATCATTGAAAACTGCTAGAATTGTGATCCATTAAGGTTCCTTCTCTATCATCTGGACCATAATAGAATTATTTTTTAAATGCTCTAATAAAACCACACATCACAATGGGGTGTTTTCCATGGGTAGGTGGGAAGAAAATGGGTACCGGGGACACAGAGTTTGGAATATTCGATTCAGGGAAGGTGAAGAGGGAGAAGAGGAAGCCAGCTGCACCCTGGCTGGTGTTGGAGCCATGACTGAGCCCCAGCAGCTATGGCCCCGGACCAGGCGCTCCCAACTAGGAAGGAAAGGCCAGAGTGCCTGGTGCTTGCAGAATTGGTCTCAGACTTTTACATAGGATGCTGCGTGTTCCTAACAATTTTGTTTTGTTGGAACAGTGCTTGCTGACGCTCTGCAGGTGAGCGCAAAGTCCCAACCTGCTTCCTCCCTTCTCCTGAGGGACGGGGACTCGTTTGAACTCCACTGCTCAGCTTCTTCTGCCTCCTTGGAGCATACGCATCTCTCTGTGATGTGGGAGCTTCACCGCGGCCCCGCCAGGCAGAAAATCCTCTCCTTGACACACGAGAATCGGTTCTATCCTGGCCCACAGTATGAAAGCCGCTACCAGAGTGGAGATTTGCGTCTGGATACCGCCGGGGAGAATGTTTACCGATTGTCTGTGTCTCGGGTGCTGCCGGTAGACCAGGGTACCTATAGATGTGTGGTCAGTGAGTGGATTGGAGAGAAGGGTAAATGGCAAGAAATTCAAGAGAAAAGCGTGAATGTTGCCACTGTGACCATCCAGCCAACAGGTGGGTTTCCAGTGTCTATGTATTTGTGTGTATTCTCTCTGTTAGTCAGGGGTGAGATCATATCCTGCCAGACCAGAAGGCTCTCACTTCTTGTGATGAGCAGCTACTCAGGCTTTTCACTTAAAATGCAACCTCTAACAAATCCTTTAACCCCTCTGGGCTTCTTTTTTCTCAGTTGTGAAATGAAGGGATTGAAATAGGTGGCTCTGAGGCCTCTTCCAGCTCTGTATGTGTGATCCTGTGATCTTTTAAGTTGACCAGACTTGGGGAGAAGAGAGGAGGACGGAAGAGACTCAGTCCTTGAGTATAATGAAAGCTTCCACCACCACACTTTTTTCTTCCCTTACTTCTTAAAGTCCTAGTGAGGCATGCGGAACCAAGCATGTATCGTAGAATCATATCTGGAGCTGAAAAGGATCTCAGAGGCCATTGAATACAACACCTTCATTTTTACAGCTGAAGAAACTGAGGTACAGAGAAGGCACATGATTCCTAAGGTCACACAGGTAAGTTATCATTGGAGGTGGGAACTAAGTACTCTGACTTCAGAACCAGTACTCTTTCCACTATACTGAGATGTCTCCAGAGTGATGGGTAGTAGCCTGTTATCAAGGTTAACTTTCTTGATTGGCCCACCGGGGGACCCCTGCCTTAGGGTTCCTGATTAGATTTGTCCAGCTCAGTGGGGAAAATCTTAACACATATATGAAAGTTCCCTATCCAAATGTCAATGGACATGGTATAGCTTTATTAAGTTGCATACAGATTATTGTACTGGTGAACACAATATTGGTAAATACAAACTAATGCCTAACCGTGATATCAGGGAAGTTGACACAAGGAGTTTCTAAATAGGTAGGATTTATTTTGTGAATGGTAAGACATGCCTCCCTGGGAAATCTCTGGTCCCACTTTCATCCTTTGTCCCATCTACTTTATGGATCAGGACTGTATAGAAAGAAGTATATATTTACAGGTGCATCAAGATGTCAATATCCATGGCACTAACACAGGTGACTTCTTGTAAGGAGTGCCTTTAAGGGCTCAGATGTTTGTCTATCTCTGTCCACCAGCTTCTGCTCAAAGACTTCAAGTGAGCGCAAACCCTCCATTTCTCAAGGTAGTCTTCTCCACTTGAGTATCTCTCTACTTCCTGAATTCAAGAAATTTCCTTCACCAGTTCATTCCATTTTTTCTTTTCATTTTTTAATCATGTCTTTTGTTTTTACGTCACCTTCTCCCCATGTATCCTTCTCCCTTCCACTACCTAAAGTGCCATCCCCTGTAACAAAGAATAAGAAAAAATCAGAATGGGAAAAACCAATTCACTACAACCAACAACCACATCAACTGAGATAGATGCAGGAGCTTCCACACTCATAGCCCCCTGCCTCTGCAAATAAGAGAGGGAGGTACATTTTCTCATCTCTTCAACACCAAGTTTGTTCTTTATAATTATCACACTGGTTTTGTTATTAACTTTTTTTTTTTTACTGTTTCTATTTGCATTACTATTGCCATTGTGCATATTTTTCCCGATTCTGTTTAATTCACTCTATATTGGTTTCTATGTCTTACCATGCTTCTCTGTATTTTCTATGTCCATCATTTCTTACAGAGCAGTGATGCTGTCTCATTCTTGTGCCATGATTTGTTTAGCTGTTTCCAAATTGATAAGGCCTTTTTCGTTTAAACAAGAAATTCCTATTATTCCTGGCTGGCTTTCCATACCACTAATTGCATCCACTTCTATTGCTTTTACACGATATAGTCAGTCAAAATTTTTTATTAAGGACCTACTATGTGTCAGGCACTGTGCTAATTGGTGGCAATGTAAATATGAAAAAAGAAGACAATTCCTGTCCTCGAGGAGCTCACAGTCTAATGTGGGGAAGAAGCTGAGAAGGGGGAGAGGGAAGGTACCAGGCATGGGGGCATGATGTAAAAGTCCAGAGGAGTATACCCAGATGGGAAATGAAGTGATGGCTGGTCTGGGCATACACCTTAAATGCAGGTTCTGGCAGGAACTCTTCACTCTGCCCTCCAATGGTGGAGACATAACTTGTTCTATTTATTTTAATGCTATTTAAGTAAAGGCAGCATGATGTTAGTGGATAGCATGTTGGGCTTAGAGTCATAAAGACATGGGTTCAAATCCTGATTCTGACTCTAGCTGGGTTCGTAACCCTGGATAAGTCACTTAACATTTGTCTTAGGGAACTCCCTAGAGCTTATGTACTAATTTATAGGTAGATGGGTAGTGATCTTCTTTAGTGGAAGAATTTTCCACACTGGGAGTTCCCTATCTTTCACACATTCTATTTGTGCTAATGCTTTTTCAAGTCCTGTGTTCATTCTTTTCTATGCCATTTGGATTTCTACTCACATCGCAGTTTATGTCATAGTTTGTCTCTTAGTCTGGTATTCAGCACATTGTCATTCCATTAAGAGGGCTTGGCTTCACTAAAAGCTTTCAATAGTAATGATCATCTTGGGCTCACTGAATTCATTCCTTTCTATGTTTGTACCCTGACTTCTAGATTTCATTCTCCCCAAGGCTGTTTGGACTTCCATGAATCTGGCTGTCCCAGTAACTTATCACATTACATGGACTTACCCAAGGCCTGTCTTAGGTTCCTACAGATGAGCCGTCTTGATCCAACTGGGAGTTCCTCATGCCAACAATTATTTATTTTTTTATTTTATTTATTTCTTTTTTTGCGAGGCAATGGGGTGAAGTAACTTGCCCAGGGTCACACAGCTAGTAAGTGCTATGTGTCTGAGGCCAGATTTGAACTTGGGTCTTCCTGAATCCAAGGCTGGTGCTCTATCCACTGCACCAAGAATTATTTCTTTACCTTCCTACATGGCCTCTAATGATGTTCAACATGAGCCTGCAAACAGAGTGGTCTCTTATTCCAAGATGGCGGATGTGCCCTGTGGCATATAGCTAGCTCAATGGTACAGAGACTTATGTAGTACACTTTGCCACCTTCAAACATTTTTTAAATGAGGATGGGCTGAGTCAGACTCAGTTTTCTTTTCATAAGCATGAGGGCCATATCATTCAGACTCAGAGAACAGAGGCGTGAAGACAACATCCATCAATCATTAATTATGGAAGTGTCTCCTTTGCGCCAGGCCCTGTGCTTGGTGCTGGAAACACAAATACCAAGAGTAAAATTATCCCAACTCTCAAGGAGCCTACACTCTGATGGGGAATTAGTGGAGTGGCAGGGGGTTGGACTAGATGACCTCTTAAGGCCTTTCCAAATACTGAATTCCATCATTCTAAGACATTTCCTTTGGAGGCAGAATTATACTAACACAGGGCGAGGGTATGTATGCTGTAGCCAACTCATACTGGCCCATAAGTGCTAAGTGTGAAGTTTTCAATAGGAGCATTTACACCTTGGAAATCAGCAAATGCTACAAATCAGGGTTTGATTTATTGTTTTGTTGATTACGTGGACTTAAAGTGATGGAGAAAATATTACTAATAAAGATGAAACTTAAAAGTTTTCATAGATCATAAATTTAGAACGGTAAGACACCCCAGGGACCATCTGGTTCAACCCTTTCATGTTACAGATGAAGAAACTGAAGCTCAGAGAAGTTGGTCATCTAAGGAGGGAGTGACGGTAGCTGATTTGAATCCATATCTTCTAGTTCCAGATCCAGCATTCTCTCTACACTGTCTTTCCACACTATAGCCATTGGATCTGAAAGTAGCAGATGCAGGTGGCTTTCAAATATAACCTTTCTGCGTGATTCTAAGATGAAATCTTTTTGAAAGGGAAAAAGCTGGTGGTTGACACGTGCTGCCAAAGATGCTGATGGTATCTCAGATTGCATTATTGGAGGCATCATGCCTAGAACTAAAGAGGTGTTAGTTCAATTGTACTCTTCCTCGGGCAGAACATAAATGAATTGAGTCCAGCTCTGGGCACCACAGTTTAGGAAGAAGCTGGGCAAGCTGAAGGTTTTCCACAAGGGCAAATAGGGCGATGAAGGGTCTAGGTACGATGCCTCACTGGTGGGCTAACTAAAAGAACTAGGGAGACATCCTAGAGAAGGGAAGATTAAGGGAGCACATAAGAATTGTCTTTATTTGCAAAGCTGTCATGTGGAAGAGGGATAAGTCATCTTCTGCTTGACCCCAGAGGACAGAACTGGTAGCAACTGGTTAAGATCAGCACAGACACATACTTTGGCTGGAAGTAAGGGAAATTTTTTCCTAACAGATCTCTATCTAAAAATGGAATGGACTGCCTTAGGAGGTAGAGAGTTCCCCATCCCTGGAGGTCTTTTTGCAAAAGCTGGATGACCTTTTGTCTTAGATGTTGGAAGAGAGGATTCGTGTCCAAGTGAACTCTTGATATCCCTTATACAAATTCTATAATATAAGTACATTGAAAAATATAAATTATAGGCCACACTCAGGTTTTGTAAGAGTTAGAGTGGTGGGTAAATGTGCCCTGTAGTTGAACCAACTTGGTAGGCTAAGGAAGGTCCTTAAACTATTGGTGACAGTGCTACTGTTGGTCTTCTTTTATTTTGTGGGGGAGGGGAGACATTCTTTATTCAAAGGAATGGTGCTGATCTCCTTAGTAGTTGTTATGACCCTACCATCTGTGGATTGACTTTCTATATAAACCTGTTCCATCTTCTTTTTCAAATAGAGCAATCCCCTCTCATATTCTCCCAATAGATAGATTACTCCCAATCTCCCTTCCTTCGTCTCCGCTCCCTCCAATCCATCTGCCACTCATGGTCAAAGTCATTTTCCTAAAGTGTAGATCTGACCATGTCATCCCCTGTTCGGTAAACTCCAATGTTTCCCTTTTGCCTCTAGAATCAAATATAAAATCCTCTGACATTTAAAGCTCTTCACAACTTGACCTTTTCCTGCCTTTCTAGTCTTAATCTCTACTTCCCTTCAGGTATTCTTCTTGTTCATTCATTTCAGTCGTGTCCAACTCTTCATGACCCCATTTGGGATTTTCTTGGCAGAGATACTGGAGTGGTTTGCCGTTTCCTTCTCCAGCTCCATTTTGTAGATGAGGAAATTGAGGCAAACAGGATTAAGTGACTTGTCCAGGGTCATACAGCAAGTGAGGGTCTGAGATCAGATTTGAACTCAGGAAGATGAGTCTTCCGGACTCCAGTCCCAGCACTCTATGCATTATAGCGCCACCAGATGCCTTTCTTGTACTTTATAATCCATCAACAGTGGCCTTGCTATTCCTCCCATACAACAGTTCATTTCCTGACTCTGTGACTTTGCCCCGCAGTCTGCCATGTTTGAAATGCTCTCCTTTCTAACCTCCACCAACTGGCTTCCCTTGCTTCCTTGTAGATTCAGCTGAAATCCCACTTTTGGCCAGAGGCCTTTCTTGGCCCTCCCGTTGCTCATACCTTCCCTCTGAGATTGCCTCCACTTATATATCTTGTATGTATGTAGTAGTTTACATGTTGTCTCCTGCATTAGAACGGGGGCTCCTTGAGGCACGGACTATGTTTTTGGCTATCTTTTTATACCCCGGGGCTTAGCAGACTGCCTGGTACATTGGAGGCCTTTGATAAATGCTTGTTGACTGACTGATAATATCATCTCTACCCCATCTTTAATTGTCAGTTCCTCCCAATCTACTGATTCTTTCCATGCTGTGTACAGGCACACTCAAATCTCTTCTGTGCTGTTTCTAAAAGAGGGCAGGTTCTCTCTAAGTCTTCTCTACCTTCAAATTCTCCCCTCCATCAAAGACTCTATGCCCGGAGCAAGGGATGGCCATATGCTCCCCCATCCATTGGCAAGTAGTGATCTTGCTCTGTGGCTTGTTTCCAGAAAAGAAAATTCAAGAGGAAGTTGAAGTCACTGTATGCTTGAATAACAACATAAATACAGGTTTATGTCTCATAGTTAAAAGAAATTACATTTGTGATTTTAAAGCTGTAACACCCTAGGTTTTCTTACTCCTACCCATAGGAGCTATGGCAGAAGATTCAATTTTCTATTCAATTAATAACAGTATCACAGTAGTATTGGGCCTTTTGCCTTCAACACTTACTGAGTGTGATATGCAAGGCAGTGTGCTAGGTGCTAGGGGTGCGAGGATGTATGTAGGCTCGATTAAGACCTCAAAGATCTCACTATCTCATAGGGGAGGTTACAACGCACACAAATAAGTCTGAGACACAGTAGAATGTGAGGGGGTTAAAGGAAGGTCTGGCAAGGTGCCGTGAGAAATTTGCATGTGCTTGTCTAAACCAAGACCATCCCTGCTGCATTCCACAGGGCCCTGCCCTATGGAGCTCTCTGTCATAGTCTGTCTTTGGTGGCAAGAGATCATTAGATGATTAGAGGCATTTAGGGGACTCAGTGTATAGAGCTCTGGGTCTGGAGTCAGGAAGGCTTGAGTTCAAATCCAGCCTTAGACACTTACTAGGTATGTGATCCTGAGCAAGTCACTTAACCCTGTTTGCCTCAGTTTCCTCATCTGTAAAATGGAGATAATAATAGCAAGCACCTATGTGCCTGAATTGCTATGAGGATCAAATGAAGTAATATTTATGAAAACATTTAGTGAAGTGCCTAGTATTTAGTAAGCACTATATAAATGCCCATTCCTTTCCATTATGTTTGGGGGAGGGTGTAAGCATAAAATGGGTTGGGAAAAATTGGAGATTTTCATCTTTTCCAACTTGTAAGGCTGTTTTAATCTTCTTTTAAGCCCTTTAAATAATGTGTCAGAGAGGAGAAGGTGTATACATACATACATACATATATATATATACACACATATAAAGTACATATATATACATGCATACACACATACACATATACATGTATCATGTATATTATGTGCGTGCATGTATGTGTATACACATATACACACATGAGTGCAAATATAGACACAATGTGCACATATGCACACTGTATACACACACACAAATGTGTTTACTTATATCCAGAAATGGGAAATAGCCCTATGACATTCCCTTTCTCTAACACTTAAGGCTTGTTTCTCTCTTACCTAAGTAGATTTTGGAACTGTCCTGAAAAGATTGTTTGAAATGTATTTCAGGTTTTGTTTAGATTCGGATGAAAGTCATTCACTCGGGAGGTCCTGAGTTTTTTGGGTTAGGATTCCTACCTTCCCCAGAGCTGGGCACCAACCTCACTTTGTCCTACTCATTGGGTACAGCTGTTACCACTGAATAACTCTTGCCAGAGAGCCATAGGGATGTACTGAGCCATTAACCTCTTGGGAACAGTTAGTTATTTCTCATCTGTGTATTTGTTTCCAGATCATCATCAGTAAGCTGAGTGTTGTTGTACTTAGATTACAGATGTTCAACTTCTTTAAAAAAAAAAGATAACCTAAAGTATCAGCAAGTGGAAAGCTTTGGAAGCAAATAGTGGAAACTCCATCTGCGAGGCTGCTGTTGGATAGCACAAGATACTTCAAATATTCTATCCAAATATAGTCAACTCTTGATTAGCCATGCTAATGAAATGGAGAGGACTTAAGCTATAAAAATTATTTATCTAGAGCTTTATAATCTTTTTATATTTGATTTGTATGTGGGTATGTCTAATGTTTTTGGAACTGACCCTTTAATGAAGTCACACTGTTGAAGACTTACAAGGAAAGTCATCTGGCTTCTCACCATTTTGGCCCCTTTGCTCTGAATTCTTCCCTTCTCTGGGATGGAAAGAGCATCGCTGCTCAGACTAATGTACGGCTCCAGCTGATCCTGGGTTGTTCTTTGTTCTCTAAAATTGCCAAAGTTATGGTCCACACTTTGCCTGGGTTGGAAGGATTTAGTTTAATCTTTGTTTTTAAAATTTTTTTTTATGCTAAGCCTCATAAAAGAGTAAGATAATCCATTTTATCCAACAGATATTTGGAGTACCTGTGAAGCCTCTCCTTAGTTTTGTTAAGAAGAATCTAAAAATTATATTGCTTGCCTTCTCAAGGGGTAGGGGAGAGGAGGGAGGGAGAGAATTTGGAACTCAAGTTTTTAAAAAATGAATGTTAAAGTTTTTACATGTAATTAGGAGATACTTAATGAAACAAAAATATATTAAAAAAGAAGAATCTAAAACTAAATTAATCTGAGGTTTGGATGATCTGATTTATCAGGATTTCTCAATATTATTTTTAATTTCTAAGCCTTAAGAGCAACTGTCACCAAGAATAATGTGTCTGTGACTGAAGGGAATGACGTGGACCTTACCTGCAGCATCACCACTGACCAGAAGGATGATTTTCAGGCTGAGGTGACGTGGTACTTTAGCAAGGCACCTGACAGTTCTTTGCCTGATGCACACATCTTGGCAAGCATGGACCACAATGCTGTGGTGCACAGCCCATTGACAGTTACCTTAAATCGTGTGGATATACACTCATACCGCCTGCTAGTACGAGACGCTAACAAAGAAAACTCTGGCTACTATTTCTGCCATGTGGCTCTCTGGGCACCTAGGCATAACAGGACCTGGCAGAAAGTGGCTGAGAAGATGTCTGAACCAGCTGGAGTGGAGGTCACCTTGCTGGGTAAGTGATTTGGTTGTCAATAGCATTCATGAAAAGGGCTTTTTTCCTCTCAGGCATAATCGTTCCCATGGGCATATTAAGGGGATCTGCTTTATTTTGGCTTCCCATACATCAACAGAAATGAACTTTTGACCAGGTACGTCCTCAGCTAGGGATGAAACCAAACTGAGCCTAAATCTAGAAGGCAAGGGAAGTGTTTAGATAATGTCGCCTCAGTCTCAATGACCTCATTGGAGGGAATTTAATCTCCTTTTGTTGCTCAGATTTATAGCATGAGGGTGTTCCTGAATGGCTCTTTGAAACGAATCCTCATCAGAGAAAGGATGGAGTATCATTCTTTCTTCCCTTATCCTGCAACTCCTAGGAGCTGGAGCAGGGACTCTGAGTTTATCTTGGTATTTTTCCAAAAGCCCAAAGCAGAAAGAAAAAAAGGAGAGGATTTCCTCACTTAAGAGGGACTGGATTTTCCTTTGAGTCCCCCCAGAATCCAGAGATATTTTATTCCTCAATGTCAGGTTCAGAAGCCTATGTACTTTGTCAGAGTATTTTAGCATCCTTGGCTGACTCCAGATAAAAATAGATGAGGGAGCTCCATTGGAGGGTCCAAGGATTGCGTCCAGAAGCATTCACTTCTCTGTGTGGTGGAGGAGGAAGAACACAGGGACCAGAATTCACAGACTGAGATTCACATCTTAGCCTGTGTAAGCCTCAGCGAGTCTTCCATTTCCATTTCCTCATCCACAAAATGAGGGTAACCATGCTTGTACTACTTAGATACAGGGAGATTCTGAGGGAAGTGTTTCGCAAACTTTAAAGTGCTTTAGAAATGTGAATTGTCAGCTCCCTTGTTGCAACTGTTAAAAAAAATGATTATTGATATCTTTTACGTCACTTTTATTTCCCAGTATATCCTTATCCCACCCAAAGAGTCATCCTTCATAACTAAGAAAAAAAGAGATAAGGGATGAGGGAAGGGCGGGAGTCAGTTTGACCTAAATAAACCAAATCCAACATTATATGCAATATTCCATACCCATAATCCCCTACCTCATAACTTTTCATGTACACTGAAGAAGATTAAACCTTATTCTGCCTTCTTCTCCCCTTAGTTTCCTTCTTTCCCCACAGCTCTGCCCCCAAACTAGGTTTTTAGGCTGAAATAATCCCAAACTCTTGAACACTCCCTCCTAAATTCTCTTTTCATTGTTTTCCCAAGTGAAATTAGCCAGGCTGAATGAAGCAGGCATTGAATGAGGTCAGCTTGCCCCTCTTTTTTTTTTTTCCTCTTTCTCCTCCCCTCGAACGGAGGGGTTCCAATGAAGAGGAGACAATATGGATAGCACCCTCCGTGCTTCAGACTCAGGACTACTGCTCGGCCATATCACATTGGTCTTTTTAAAAAAAAATCTTGATGAAGAGAGATTAGACATGCCCTTTTTGCACTATCATTTTGCAGCCTACCATAGTGCAAAGATTACTGAATCTAGTGTAAGGAAATAACTGGGTTCAAAATCCCCACTGCAACATTGACTCAGTGGCGATAGCTAAGTCGCTTCACTTTTTTTGCGCCTCTGTTTTCTTATCTGTTAAAATGATGATAAACAGTGTCTTTACAACTCACTTTTCAGAGTGCTTGTAAGGAAGGGCTTTATAAGCATTAACATGCCATACAAATGTGGGCTGTTGTCATTAAGCAGGAAAACTCACATTCCATTACTTTGAGATCCTGATAACATCAATGCCTTGAGGATCAGGATTACCTTTCCTCTGCCTGGTATAAACCCCAGGGCAGGGTCATGGCCCATGTGGGCACAAGCAAGGATAATCAAAGCTAATGCCCATTGAGACCCTTTGGCTTCTCTGAAGCTGGCTTCATCTCTTATTATTTATTCACTTGCTGTATAAACTTGGGCAAGTCGTGTAACCTGTCAGAGCTTCAGTATCCTCATGTGTAAAACTCAAATAAAAGTCCTAGTATTGCTTACCTCAGTGGCATCATGAGGAAAAGGAGATAATAGAATGCAAAGCACATGAGCCTTTGATGTGTGTATCAATGCTAGTTATTATTATTATTACTAATTAAACATACTTACCTTTTTCTCAGCTGTGTGATTCAGCTGCATGGTTGTTTTCTAACCAGAAGTATGAGCTGTTGTCAGTTTCATATGGGTTCAGACCCCTTTGCCTATTTCTGTACTTCCTAGACTTCTGAACATTATCGTCCCATAGGCCCACCTTCCCTGGCGGAGTGGGCAATCCATTGTTTTATTTTGCAAGCTCAGGAGTGTTCATAGGACCCGTAGATCACCTCAGAGGTGATAGAGTCTGACACCCTCATTTTATAGTTGAGGAAACAGGTCTAGAGAGGTTTGGTGAATGACCTATATATGATAAGTAATGTCTAAGGTGGAATTTGAACCTGGGTCTTTCTGTGAGTGCAGTGCCCTGTCCATTAGGTCATGCTCTTTCAGTGTTTTAACATAAGTACAGGGAGGCAGATGAAAGAAAAGCTGCGTAAGAGAGGATTGCGGCCTGAATGCCTCTTACTCCTCAAATCATCTCTGGCCTATGTAGTATATGTTTGTTGTTCAGTTGTTTTCAGCCGTGTCTGATTCTTTATGACCCCATTTGGTGTTTTCTTGGCAGAGATACTAGAGGGGTTTGCCATTTCCTCCTCTAGCTCATTTTGACAGATGAGGAAATTGAGGTAAACAGGGTTAAGTGACTTGCCCAGGATCACACAGCTAGTAAGTGTATGAGTCTGGATTTGAGCCAAAGAAGATGAGCATTTTTGACTCCAGGCCTAACAATCTATCCATTGTGCCACGTAGTCACCCTCATTAGCAGGGCAGTCCTTCAATGTCTGAAGAGCTCATGAAACAAAGTTTATCTGGGAGCCTTTTTTCCTGCCATCCAAATCACGTGTACAACACATAGGGAGGCACTGAATTGGAACAATGTTGGCCCAACCAGAACTCTCCTTAGCAACTCTTCAAAATAAAACAGATGTTGTCAGCACCAAATGACGATTTTTCATCTCTTGAGCTGAATTTGTTCCACAGCTCTGATCCCTGGGCATGTTGTGTGATGCCGTCAAATCCCAAACACCGAGTAACCCCCACTCCTGAGTTCTGAATCACTGCCTGAGCATCTTTTTAAGTGGGCTGCCTGCTCTCCAGTTTGGGAGCCTTTGAAGGACCGATGCATTGATCTTGGCGTGTGGGGGCTGTGGGGCTGTCAAATTACAGGAAGAGCTCTTGGGGGAGGCGTTGAGATCCTCTTTCGTGGAAGGGAGTGATTAGGGTTTGTGCTTTCCAGAGAGTGAAAAGGAGGAAAAAGACAGAGGAGGAGGTAGCATTGCTAACAGGGCTCAGTTACATGCCAAAGGCTTTTGTTGTGCATAGGTGGGTGTGTGTGTAGTCTGGGGAAGGGGCAAGTGGCAGAATATTACTGTCTTTAAAAACATTGATAAGATGATTAATTTGATCATTTGTACATGTGTATATATATGTGTATATGTATATAATACATATGTATGTATATATAATGTGCCTGTCTATATCTACACATGTGTATATGCATACATGCACTCATATAATCCATATATATATACACACACGTGTATCCATTTATGTGTGTATATACATAGAGGCTAATAGATAAGAAACCTTATCCATACATATACATGTGTATATATACATGTATGTGCATGCATATATACTCACATGCATAGACACATATATGCACATATACATCCATGTATATATACATAGACACTAATAGATAATAAACACCATATATTTGTGCATATGCACATCCAGATATAAATATATACCCAGATATATCCATAGATAATAAACATTATATATGCATACATATACTTGTGTATATGTATATATGTATATCTTTGGTGTGTGTGTATATATACACACACTCATATATATATATCCAGGTATACACACATACATATACATACAGATACATCCATAGATGCTAATAGATACTAAACGTATATACACATTATACATATATAAAATATTGTGTGTGTATATGTATATATATGCACACATAATCCAGATAGACATACATACATATATAATATACACATAGAGATAGATACCCAAAGATACTAATAGATAATAAACATTATATATCCATACAATGTACATACATGTGGATATATACACTTTCATAGATATCCAGATATATGTGCATACACATATACGTATATATCCAGATATATATCCATAGATGCTGAGATAACAAACATTATATATACATACATATGTACATATATTTGTTATCTCTTAGCATGTGTGGATGTGTATCTAGGGTAGGGGAGTAGACCTATGATTTCCTTCACTGAATGAATTCCCAATATGAGTTCCCAGGTATAGGAAACTGCCAGTGACAAAACTCCCTTTGCCAGTGCCTTGCTCAACAGCTGCCATCTTAGAGAGTTGCCTAAGGCATTGAAAGATGAAGTGACTTGTCCAGAATAACTCAGTCAGGATATGTCAGAAACAGACCTAGAACTCGGGTCTTCCTAACCCTAAAGTAAGCTCTGCTTTTCATGGGTCAGATGAGTTTTATCATTGCTGTTGAGTCATTTCAGTTGTGTCTGACTCTATGACCCCATTTGGGGTTTTCTTGGCAGAGATACTGGAGTGGTTTGCCATTTCCTTCTCCAATTCATTTTACAGATGAGGAAACTGAGGCAACCAGGGTTAAGTGACACAGCTATTAATTGCCTGAGGCCAGATTTGAACTCAGGTCTTTCTGAGTCCAGGCCCAGCTATCCACTGTGCCCATTAATTTAATGGGTTACTATATGTAAAACACTTTACTAATCTTAAAGCTGTGTATAAATGTTACTCATTACATGAATGAATACCATATATAGACATGCATGTACTCTGTAATAATGCTCTCTATATTTGGAAATGCCATGTTGAAGTGGGGAGAAAAAACGCTGAATTTGGAGCAAAGAGGACCTGCTT